TTTTACGATAAAAACCGTAAAACTTCGCTTTCTCGGAAAGAACTCGAGGAAATCGTATAAAACGGCAACGGTTAGACGAAACACCGAACATTGCCTAAACTATACGATTTATTCGAGATTTCTCGTTGAAATCATAAAAACGCATTTTTAATTAAAAAACGCCGAGTAAGTCGTAAAAAACGTGTTTTTAATAAAAAGTCGAGTAAATCGTAAAACCTTGCGATTAACTCGAGGAATTTATTAAAAAGGATGTCAGATCAGGAAACGATCCCGTAAAAAGTCGGAAAACGGATTTATCGCAAAACGGCCCAGAAGGGCCTAAAACGCGATAAAAACCCATCTTGCGATCTTAACGGAATCCAACCCGCAGATTCGATAACGTTTTGACGGTTTACTCGCAGAAGGAAAATAAAGGTCAAGCTCGAAGGTAAAAGGCAAGTTTTAAGATAAATAGAAGATTTCCGCGGAAGAAAAGGAAGGATCGAGAAAATGGAAGATTCCCGAAATACTCAAATCCGGCAAAATGGAAAGATCGAACCGTCAAGACAAGGAGTATATAAACCAGAGGCGTAGGGCAGAAGAGGGGGACGAAATCAGACCTAAAAAGACGGCTGCTAGCTTAGAATTTAGGACTTAGCGTTTTGAATAGCAATCTAGATCCTTAGAACGTTTCGACGTCTAAGTTCTTCAATTCTTTTTGTAACAGTTGTCAATTCTTCATTCAATAAAATCTTTCATACAAGTTCTTAACTCTTTATTCTTTATTGTTCATCCATATTCTTTTAAATTCGTTTGTTTTAGTGATTTCCGCAGAGATCCAGGACCTCGGGAAAATTAGGGTTTCACCTTAAGTTTCCATATTTGACGGAAAATCGATAGTGTGGATTTCGGTTCCCACAATGTGGATGAAAAGTTCTATTGAGGGATGATTGGGAGTTTACTTTATCTAACGGCTAGCCGGCCTGATTTGTCTTTTAGTGTGGGAGTGTGTGCTAGATATCAAGCCAAACCAAATATATCACACTTGAATGCAGTTAAAAGAATCATCAAGTACGTCAAGGGAACGTAGAATCTAGGGGTGTACTACTCAAAGAACTCCAATGCAAACTTAGTAGGACACTGTGATGCTGACTGGGTAGGATGTGCTGATGATAGGAAGAGTACTAGTGGAGGATGTTTTCTTCTTGGAAACAATCTTATCTCATGGCTGAGCAAGAAGCAGAACTCTGTATCACTATTTACGGGAGAAGCTGAGTACATTGCCGTGGGGAGCTGTTGCTCACAACTTCTTTGGATGAAACAGATGTCAGCTGATTATGGAATGTGCTCTGGTCCCTTTCTGGTGTATTGTGACAACAGAAGTGCAATTGATATCTCTAGGAATCCAGTCCAACATTCAAGGACGAAGTACATTGGCATAAGGCACCACTTCATCAGAGAATTGGTTGAAGACAATCAGGTAGTAATCGAACATGTAGTTACTGAATAGCAATTGGCTGATATCTTTACTAAATCTCTTGAATTTAATCATTTTATCACACTAAGAAATGCAATTGGAGTGTGTAGTCTTGACCTTTGAGTTAAGTTGTGCAGAGATTAGCACAGGTACTGGTTCAGGATGTACATATGATTCAGATTATGTTTGGAACCTGAGAACGTTGTGGAAAAGAGCTGCTTGGTGTGCCGTCAACTCTGTAGAAGGTACAGGTTTTGCGTCAATCTGTGGCCCCTATTAACCCAAAAAAAAGGGATTCAGAAAGAAGAAAAAAAAAGAAAAGAAAAACAAACAAGAAGGATTCTCAAAGGTAGATCACTCTCCGAGAAGAATTTAGATGTCAAGTAGAATACCATGAGGGGTTTCACAGCACGTGAATAAAGGTTGAAAACCAGCAGAGTTGATGAAGGCACATCAATGTGAAAGCTAGCCATAAAAAGACAATTGGGTGCACCAAATCGTGAAATCTAGAAAATTTGTATGTGCAACTTGAATCAAGTGCTGGTACATTTTGCAGTACATCACGAAAATGGTACATAAACTAATCTAAAAGTTTTTTTTTTTGTTTTTAGGATTCAGCCAAAAGTGAGTTGTGATTCGTGTTTTATTACTAGTTTGAAAGTCTGATGATACAAACTTGAATTCTCGAATGTGTTTAATGGAAATGTGTTTGGATGAGAGAAATTAAAAGTTGTAGGTACACAATGGAGAGGATTAAAAAAGACAGGGACCAGAAGTGCAAATTTCAGAAACAGTTGATGGAAGTTTTTCAGATAAGGATAGTAGTGGGTAACAAATCCTAAAAACTCTCCATTGTGCTTAAGGTGACTATAATCTCTGCCTCCTCTTGCATTCTTCTGCTATCAATCAAAGAACCGAATTCAAGATGGTAAACTCGAAGAAATCAGCTCCAGAAAGCCAATCATCCAAAGCTGAAGAACATGCAAAATCGGAGTCACACAAGATGCAACTCGCTGACGGTGAGCCTAAGTCGAGTCCACCGAGGAACGATCCACCCGTTTCTACAGATCTTCCTGTTGTTACTGAAGAGATCGATTCGTTTGATACAGCTCAAGAGAAGGCTGGATCTGAGGAGAGTGATGAACATCAAGGAACTTCTGTCCTTGAGGTAGATCCAACGAAGGAAGCTATTGAGCCAGCTCATGTACCAGATAACTCGGAGCCAAATCTACCACAAGATCTCGGTGGAATCACCTCTACTGCTGCTCTGCATGTTGATGAAACTCCAACGGAATATGATGAATCTCTTTTGCCCTTGGTTCCGGTGAGGACAGAGAAAGGTGGAGATGAACCAAGTGAAGCTGAGTCCGAGTCGACTCAGAAAGACGAAGAAACAAAGGAAGATGAAGAAATCATTTCTGTCTACTCTGTCTCTGATGATGAAGCTGTCAAGAGAGGGAGGACGAAGCCTGTGTTTCAACGGTTGGGTTTGAGATCGTTCAAGAGACAAAAGTCGGAGACTTTTTAGTACACCAGTGGCTTCACCTTCTCAAAAAAGAAGCAGAGAGATCTCCAGCGAGTACATGATCCAGGAAGAGTTCCGAACAGACTTCTGGCTCAGTGCCTACATCACTTAAGGAAAGGTATGATCAGTTCCTTAAACGTAAGGTAATTGCTGAACGACTAGTGGATATGAAGGAAACCGATCAGTGGGGCTATCTAGCAGTGATTAGTAAAGGGTCAATGGAGTCTACTGTTACATCTATGGGTGTGTTTGTGGAACAAGTTGTGGCTGAGTTTTATGCAGGATTACCCAGTACAAAGACTGAGACAGATGCTGAGGAAGTAGAAGTCAGAGTTCGCAATCATCTATCATTGCTGCTCACAATTGGATTCCCTCTACACACAAGACACATGTGTCTCTAGACAGGGCCAAGTTGATTTACAAGATGGCTCATGGAATTCGTGTAGATGTGGGGAGGCTGTTCTTTAAACAAATCATGAGTTTTGGTGTGTACCAGCGCAATGATGCACGCTGGTTGATCTTCCCTCGTCTAATCATGGGGATTCTTCAAAAACAGCATCCAGTTCCATCTCTTCCTGGTGACAAGTTCAATCGTGCAGTTGCGTACAAGAAAGACAAGCGTGTGGGTGAAATTTATGAGCAATGTAAGAATAAGGGTAAAGCCAAGGAAGAGATCACGGGAAGAAAGTCAGCTCATACACCTAGTAAGCCATCTTCTTATCCAATGACTCCTGCTACAAGTTCAAGAACTGGTCCACGCAGAGTGTCGGTTTACGAGTTAGGGTCAATAGCGGTTCCTACGGGTTAGATCACCACAGCAGATCTGCAAGATGCTCTTCAGGACATAGCTCGAGCTCTTCAAGCCTTGACTGAGGCAGTTCAAGAGCTTCAGAACTCGGTGACAGGTTTTGTGATTTCTTAATTCTTTTCTCTTAATTCAGATATGACTATCATTTTCTTTGTGATTTTTAATCCGTGTGCTCACAAGCAGGGGGAGAAGATGAGAACTGAGGTTGGAGAGGACCTAAGATTGTGGGGAGAGCAATGTTATTTGCTTGTTTGTTTCTACTTCTGTTGTTGTTTTTGCTATTGCACCACTTGTTGCAATTGTATCATCTTTATTTCCAGACAATGCCAGTTTATGGGGGAGCTTGTATGTGTAATATCCGTTTTGGATACATATATTTGTTTGAACCCTTAATTAGGATAATATAAGTATGTTTCTTTGGATCCTGGTTTAGAAGTGCAATTTCTGTGTGTGTGGTTGTGGTAGTTTGTATGTCTCATGTTTCTTTGCCTCAAGTACTTATGAGACGACGAATTAAAAAGGGGGAGATTGTTGATGTAGAGACAAGATGGAGATGTAGCATAATAGAAGTAGTTCATAAAGTGCGACATGAACTAGGACAAGGGACACTTGACGTGTGAAAGGCGTATGGCGCGAACGATGCATTAAAGGAAGATTTAATGAAGAGTTAGAGAAAAAGGGAAGTCTTGAAGAAGAAGCAATCGATCATAAGAAGAATGGAAGATTGACTTATTCGTTGAAGAGAAAAGAATGGAAAGTTTCCATTAAGAAGACCAAGTAACCTAGGGTTTCCTCTGAAGTATAAATAGGAGGTTTAGGTCGTGTGTTAGCGTTAACACACAGAGAGAGCTTTTAGTAATAGACGTTTTTCAAGTCCGGAGAAGGAGAAGCAAAATCATCTAGGGGTTAGAAGCGTAAGTGGTTCAGAGACTGTCTTAGGTATGTGAACGAGTAGGCTAGTCAACAAGTCAAGGTTTGTCTTGAGCTTGATTGAAAGATTTCTTTTAAAAACTTGTATGTGTTTTTTAAAAGAATTAATCTATTCGTATTTCTTGAAAAGAATTATCCATGTGTTACTGTGTGTTCTAGTTTGTATAGCTCTTATTATCTTACACACACAAAATCTGTTACTGCCATCAAAGATGAAGCCAGATTTTTTTTTAAAAAAATAGAGCAATAGCTCACTCTTTTTCACCAATAAAAGATCCAAGATGAAGAACAAATCTATTGTTCCTGTAAGTATCCCAGATTTTTTTCCTGTTGGAAATTTTCACATTCATGTTTTTAACTTCATTATATTATTTATTTGTGGTTCCCCCTATCAGATTTCTAGAAATTTCTAAATAACATGCGTAATAGATCTACTCAATGTGCATATTCTGAATGGATAAGGTTGCAAAGTTTGCTAAAAGAAAAAAAAAAAAACGGTTGCTGTTATAAAATACATGTGAGGAATGCATCTGAAGCTTAATTATATTTGTGCTTGTATTATAATATTTGTTGATAGAAGAAGAAATATAACGAGAGATGAGAGAGAGGAAGATGTTCATCATCTGATTATTAAAACTTATCACTTACAAATGACCTACACTTCCTATTTATAGGCACAATGAGTCGGTGACTTAGGGGAGAAGTAATAATATAATAAGTTAATGGATAATCATCTAAAATCGTATTTTTACCACTCCCCTTTGATTATCCATTTTATATTACGTAGTGCCTCGTTAAAACCTTAGTTATGGAAAAACCCATTTGGCTAAAAACCATGAAAAAGGAAAACGAGTACACTGACGTAATCTCCCCCTGAGAAGTATAGACATAGTATTTTCTTCATAAGTCACGCAAATGTCGCATTCCAATACCGTAGACGTGTTTTTGGAACATCGTAGTAGGAAGGGACTTCGTAAATAAAACTGTGGGATTGTCACATGACTCTATATACTCGATATCCATTTCTTTATTTTTCTCGAGCTCCCGTATGTACGAGAAAAATTTTGGAGGCATATGCTTTGTTCTGTCGCTCTTGATATAGCCTTCTTTAAGTTGAGCAACACACGCCGAATTGTCTTCGAACATTTTCGTCGATTCTTTCCTATCAATTATTCCACTTGCTTCTTGTATGTGGTAACTCATTGATCTAAGCCACACACATTCTCGACAGGCTTCATGAAGTGCAATGGTTTCTGCATAATTTGAAGATGTTGCAACCAGAGTTTGCTTCTGTGAACGCCAAGAGATCGCTGTCCCACCAATTGTTAAAACATAGCCGGTTTGCGAACGAGCCTTATGAGGATCTGATAAGTATCTTGCATCTGCAAAAACAACCATACCAAACTCGGATTTTCTAAAGTACATTAATCCTAGGTCAACTGTACCTTGAAGGTAACGGAATATGTGTTTAATTCCGTTTCAATGTCTATGAGTAGGAGCCGAACTATTTCTTGCAAGAAGATTAGTGGCAAAGGCAATATCAGGTCTAGTACAGTTCGATAGATACAATAACCCACCGATAGCACTAATGTAAGGTACTTCTGGACCTAACATCTTTTCGCTATCTTCACAGGGTCTAAAAGGATCTCTCTCAACATTGAGAGTCCTATCAACCATTGGAGTACTCAAAGGAATTGCTTTGTCCATACGAAAGTATTTTAATAACCTTTTCGTATAATTTGATTGATGCACAAATATACCTTCTCGGAGATGCTCAATCTGGAGCCCAAGACAAAACCTTGTCTTTCCGAGATCTTTCATTTCGAACTCTTCTTTCATATGAGTTTGTGCATTATCAACTTTCTTTTGAGTTCCAATAATGTTCAGGTCATCAACATATACAGCAATCATCACAAAGCCAGATGACGATTTCTTTATAAAAACGCATGGACATATCGCATTATTTACATATCCTTTTCTCAAGAGATATTCACTTTAATCCGTAAAGTGATCGCTGTAACTTGACCGAAAAAATCTCCCTGGGTTTCTCTTTCAATGCCTCTGGCATTTTCAATCCTTTAGGGAGTCTCATGTATATATCATTATCCAATGATCCATACAAGTATGCAGTCACAACGTCCATAAGATGCATTTCAAGATTCTTTGACGTCGTAAGGCTCATCAAAAATCTAAACGTAACTGCATCCATTACCGGGGAATATGTTTCCTCAAAATCAATTCCCGGTCTCTGAGAAAAACCTTGGGCCACTAATCGGGCTTTATATCGTGTTACTTCATTCTTTTCATTTACTTTTCTCACGAATACCCACTTATACCCAACATGATTTATATTCTCAGGCGTTATGACTATAGGTCCAAAGACATTCCTTTTATTCAGGGAGACTAATTCAACTTCAATGGCCTTCTTCCACTCCTCCCAATCATGTCTTTTCATACATTCTAAAATGGACCTTGGATCAGGATCATCACTTTCGTGATCTATTTCTTTGGACACAGAAAAGGAGTAAATTCCATCAACATCTTTTATCTTATTTCTGATCCATAACTTTTCGTCTTGGGCGTAGTTGATGGAAATCTCATACTTTTATGTTCCCTCCTCGTCATCTGGATCCTTATCTTTATTTGGTTCTTCTTGAACCTTTTCATCTATGCCTTCTTTCAGACATTTTTCAGTATCGGGTTCTTCTAGAACCTTTCCTTTTTGCTCAACCAATTTCTTTTTCTTTTGAGGATTTTATCTTTAGAACCCACTGATCTCCCCCTATTTAACTGAACCCTAGGTTCATTTATTTTGTAACCATCAGTTTGTTCCCTAGGAACAACCACTCTTGATGAAACATTTTCAGCGGGTATATGTGACAAAGTCACATTTCTCGTATCTGTGAACGCATCTGGTAACTGGCTTGCCAAATTATGCAAATACACAATTTTCTGAATTTCCAGCTCTGTTTGATTCATAGGGGGCCATGTGTAACAACAACTGTGTACACCATATAATCTCTTTAGGAATTTCTCTAATTCCTCCCCCTAATGTTGGAAATACATGGCACTCAGCAAATCATGCCATAAATAAATCACCAGTTACTAGTTTAAGATACCTTATATACAGCTTGTTCTAACTCTTTTCAGAGTTTCTCTTTCCCAAGAATATCACTAATTCTCCCGGAACTACTAAATATCAAGATGCAAGTCTTTTGTCCTGCCAGACATATTAATATACTGTATCTTTTACAAATTTTCTCCAGTGACCTCGTAACAAGCCGCTTTTCGTACCTCAAGGTCATCTTTTAATCATTCGCCGGAGAAATATGCATCTTTCTGATGCTTGGACTTCCGGTCCAAAACTTTCTCGTTTTTCTAACGAGTTTCAAATTGATTGCCTTTGGCTAATCAATTCACTATACTCTCATACATAGAGGTAGATTTCAAGATCATTATTTATATAGCGCTTTTTCATATTTATTGTCGACAATCTATTTTCTCTTTGGTTCCATCTTCTTACTCGTACTGATATGGTTAATCGAGATCTTTTTATCATCATCGATGATTTACCCGGGTACGTGAATACAAATTAACCATATCAAACGGTCTCTCTAAGAGATTCATCCTCTATTCATATATTTGCTCCATTTCGAGGATTCTTTGGAACCAAAGTGGTCTATCACATATTTTGCGTGCCATAGACTCATATATCGTCCTTTTAGGACACATTTTCTTAATGCAGCCTTTTCAGCTGGAATATGAGATTTCAAAATGTCTGGCAGGCATTTTATAAATAGATTATCTTTCATAACTTTTATGATGATCCATATCTCATTCCATTCAGCTGTTCATATGCTTCCAGCAAACTTGCGATCATATTTATTCCATATACTTTATCCCTAAGTATATGACTCTATTCATGCCCAACTGCATGTTTATACCCGATCATGGGGATCATCTTACCTGATCAAGTTCTTTTCGAGTGCGAACATAATTTTTTCAATGTTTCACTCACTGAGATTCCTCTTTAATTCTCCCCCTCGAGATGATGACACTCCATGTCTAAAATCTCGTACTGAATCCCACTCTAGAACCAATAACATATTCAATATTCCCATTTGGAATGAATTATGTTTCAAATCCTTTATAGTAAGATCCTGAAATTGGGTCTGTTTAAAGCAATCACCTCCAGCGAACTTGTTTGATGATTCACCTCCCATAATGGTTTCTTTATTTTCTTTAAGACATGCTATATGTGAAAAACTTTAGGTTTTTCATTTCACAATAATGCTATAACATTATTGAAGATGGCTATATATTAGTAAACTTTTAGGTTTACCACCATTTATGCTTATGCCATCTTTTTCTTATGCATGTCTCTCCATCTTCTGGAGTCCATTATAATTTAATAAAATATTTATTTGGAGAGAAGGAAAATATAATTTACCTTCACGGACCATGTACGATGATCCACTATCTACCAAGTATATCTATCTCCATCTTGTAACTCCAAATCTTATTAAGGAAAACAATTCTCATCTCGCATCGATATTTCCATTTTTATTTTCTGGATTATCAAGAAATCATATCAAGATGAGTATTCAAGCCATGAAAAGATGGTCTGGGCTCATAAGAGATGAAGTTTATTTCACTTTCTTTCTCTTTTCTCTTCTGGAATTCTCTATACAGATTGACTATATATTTTGGCGTACGATAACCATGTACCCAATTCCTGTTCATGCCATATCTGCAGCAAACCTTTTATGTTTCTTTTTTATCACCCGACCATTTTCATTTGCGTGGAAGTTCTCATTATTTCTTAGGGACGGAATATTCTTCCCCGTCCTCTTCTACGACCATATTTGTGGTTTCAAACACATCTACACCCTTGTCCTTTTCTAGTAGGACTTACTTGATGGTTTAGTATCATGATTTTCATTTTCAAGGAGGATTTACATCAACTCTAACTATTTAATAAATCATTTCTTTTAAGGATTTAATTACTCAAAGATCTTCTAATCTTTTCTTTCAAAGATTTATTTACTTAAAGATCTTTCAATCCTTTCTTTCAAGGATTTAATTATTCAAAGATCTTTTGATCATTTTCTCATGATACACTTTATCTTATAAACCATCATCAAAGTGGTGTAATATATCATGGCTTTCTTTTCTCATCTGATATAGTTTATATCGATGGTATCTCAAAGCTCGTTTTCTCTCAGATGTACCTTTACACCCACTGCCAAAGTCTATAATTATTTCTCTCAATATCAAGGGCATTTACTCCGAGCTTTTGTTAAATTTGACATGATAACTTTATTCATATAATAATATATAAAATATATTATAAAGGCGGGAATTTAAATGCATAATTTAAATGCAGAAATTAAAAGCATAATATAAAAGCAGAAATTAAATTGCAGTATTTAAAGAACATAAATAAAACTGGAGGCTTAGCCTTCCAAATGATCCGAGGAGACATAGTCTACCATGTTGATCACTTTTATCAAGGTTTGAGGAGACATAGTCTGCCATATTAACCTTTTCTTTTTATTTCAAGATCCGAGGTGATATAGTCATCCATTTTGATCTTTTTATTCACGGAAGCAAAGCCTATCACGTGTTTCTCTGATCGTGACGGCATAGCCATCTTATCAATCAGTCGGGGAAGGCAACGCCTATCATCCCGAAAAATAAACGGAGAAGGCCTAGCTTCTTACTCTGAAAAAAATAATAAAATTACAATAATAAAAATTATTGAAATACATAAATTAAACAATACCTCATCGGTATAACCTTGTTTAATATAGGACCAGAGCTTCGTGCTGATAACGTGTTATAAAATACATGTGAGGAATACATCTGAAGCTTAATTATATTTATGCTTGTATTATAATATTTGTTGATAGAAGAAGAAATATAACGAGAGATGAGAGAGAGGAAGATGTTCATCATATGATTATTAAAACTTATCACTTACAAATGACCTCTATTTATAGGAAGAATGAGTCGGTGACTTAGGGAAGAAGTAATAATACAATAAATTAATGGATAATCATCTAAAATCTTATCTTTTAACAGTTGCAGAGTTATTTGGACCGGCCATTTTTGAAGCCTCCAAATTTAAAATATTTTTTATAGGAGTTAATTAATGAAAAGAAACATTCATCAAAGCTCACAAGAACTTACACTCTGACTCACAGTTACATAACCACTAAATTAACTTTAGCTATATCTCAATCCATCAATAACTCTCAAGTAAGTGATATAGTCTCCCCCACGTACTAGGGTTTCGTTTTACAAGACAGATGTAAGTTTGTTTGTATGTGTTTCACCAGTTGCGAGGATGGGCATATAAGTTATTCAGGGACAAAGTAGTGGCCGAGTGGAAGAAAGTGAAAGATAAAATGTCGCTTCATGTCCATTACCACATTAGCGGAGGTCACATCCTTTTGGATCTCATTGCTAAGCTTCGATACTACATTTTTCGCAAAGAATTACAACGTCGTAAATTTTTGGATTTATTAGCAATGGTACTTTTTTAAACATGATATGGTAATTGTCTAGTGGTTGTTTGAATTTATTACTGATGATATTTTTTTAATATGATATGGTAATAGTCTAGTGGTTGTGGAAGTTTATGTAACTATGTGGTATATTAATAATATTTGACCTGTTGGTTTAAAGGTATCAAAAGCTTTTATTCATGGAGATGGGTACATGTTGATTAACTATCCTGAGCTACAAGAATCTCCTATTTGAGTTTATTTCCATTCCGACATCAAAGAGTACAACAAGGTCGAACGTTGGGGACCGCTTTGGGAGGTAACACAACACCACCACCACGATGGAAACAGAAACCACAAAAATGTGAAACTCTCCCTGACCCACTATGTCCAAGTTGTTAAGTTAGATGGGATTCCAACCTAAAATCAAATGGTGAGAAGTGGATTGGTCCATCTATCTTATATACTATTTAAGATTTCTTCCAATACCGATGTGGGGCATTTGTCCCTAATACGTCCCATCGAGATGATGGCTCTTGAGCATCAAGCTAGGAATGTTTGGACAAGAATCGATGGGGTGACTTTGGGCTGGATCGATAATGGATCGGGTTGAATTGTTTGGATCGTGGGTTATGATACCAAGTTAAGCTAGATGGACTTCCAATTTAAAACCAATTGGTGATACGTGGATTGGCCTATCTATTTTATATATTGCTTAGGATCTTTTCTAACTACCAATCTGGGACATTTATCCCTAATATGCCCATTCGAGATGATAGCTCTGTGAACGCTAATTTTGGAATGTTTGGGCAACGATCGATGGGTTATCTTTAGGTCAGATCAATGAGGATTGGGTTGGACTTTGTGGATCGAAGGTTATGATACCGTATTAAGTTAGTTGGACTTCCAACATAAACCTAATTATTGATAAGTGAATTGGCCTATTTATCTTATATACTACTTAAGATCCTTTCTAATTACTGATGTGAGACCTTTGTCGTATTAGGATGACTGAAAATGTTGCTTTCCGTCAGTTAGCACGATCCCGTGGTAGCATTGTCATTATCATCAACATAGCAGAGCGGATGAAAATGAGAATGTCTTGGGTGTCAAGTTAGTGATTTCTATGCCTAATTCTAAGAGACTGAAGTAATAGATCTCAAAGATTGTATACATTTTTATATTTGGTGGCTAGGAAAGTTAGATGGAAGATGAAATTTTAATTGTTTAGTGTTAATGGTAAATAAAAATGGTATAACATAAGTCTTGCAAGTTTCATCTGTATTAGTAATCTTTATAGTCTGATAATGCTTACTGTTTTTCAATACTACAAGATCCAACAGAAAGAAAGAACCAATCTATTATTCATGTAATAATCTAACGACTTGGTAACTCCGTTTCTTAATTTCGAATTCTAAGTGTTCTTGTTTTTTTTGTGGCTTGTATTTTAAAACTATTAAATGATATCATCTGTCATTTCATATTTATTATTTTGGTCATGTTTTAGAGTCTTATTATGATCAGGACAAAATGATTTTGAGAAGTATATGTTAAAAGTTGTAATAATTTTTGAACCTAATAACCGTTCGCAGAAAAAAAATGAGAAAGGGACTTAATAATCAGCGCATGTCGTTAAACATTACACATAGCAAAGCCTTTTTATTATTATTATTTGTAACTAGATGTCTATATGTCTAGGCCTGGGCATGGAGCAAGTGCCCGGCATTTTTAGGAACTTGCTATCCAATGTGGGATGCGATTGAGGTTAAGACCTTCAAAGTTTGACATTCTTAACAGTTTGTTTTTTCAATCAGATCTCAAAGTGAACATTAAGCTCTTACAGTTCTCAAAATTAATATTCACTTCCTATTCTTTTCTTTTATTTTTGTTTAAAAGTGTCGTAAACAAGGTTGATTGATAAAAACTTTTGTTTTAGGCTTTGAATTTATAATTATGGCTAAAATATTTGGCAGTTGAAACTTTAGATGTTAGTTTATTTTCCATCAAAACAACTTAGTAGTTAAAACTGTAGAAATTTTGAATAATAATTTTAAATACTTTATTTAAAATATAAAGTTATATTAGTACGATATGGATCTCAAATGAACAAGAAAAAAATATCAATGATTATTTTGTTAATCCGAACTTTTAATAAAATTATTAAAAATTTTAAATAAAAGCTTAAGTTATGAAGGGGAAGAAAAGAAAAAGGTTTAGAGAAAAATAAAAAAGTAGAAAAAATGGTAAAAATTATGTATTGTTGGCTTTGAAAAAAAAACATAAAAAGAAGAGAGAGAAACTTATACGATTTTAGACACTTTAAAATCATTATTTTTTAGAAAAATTTTGATTGGTAAAAAATGGTATTGGAAACTTTCTAATTCCACACACTCTTCAAAGTCCTAACACCAATCGGACCATATTTTTTTTTTTTTTACAAATGATTTTTCTTCTCCCATCAAACATCATAATCTTTATACAAATCTATATAAAGTGGTCAATTTACGCTACATGCGAGATACATTTCTTTTATTTTTTATATTAAGAATCTATTTTATCAAATGAATCGTTAATATGCTAATCTAACTGTAAAAATTGGTTTGTAATTAAAGTTGTAGTTGTTTACTTGTGGCAAATTTGAGTCACTAGATAAAGCGGTTAAGAATGAAATTCATCTTTTGTATCATATTTGCTTTTTTGTAGTTGTGATATATTATTTAAGTAAGTGTTATTCTTGATTGGCAAAGAACATAATGGTTTGGCTTAAAATGTCATAATCTTGTAGACATTGTTGTTTTGACTTTTGAGCCACTTTGTTAAGGATTGGTGATAATCGAGGAATGATATCTCCTAGGATTTTTGTAAGGAGGTTTTCGATGTTACAGAACGGCTGATTTACATTTATTTTGAAAGATTGATTTTGGAAGAGATTGTTGGATTGTAGTGGACGCCGCTAACCTTTTATCCTTTTATGTATGTGTAAACGGCACAAAGCGTTTCTGTTGAATTATGTGTGAATTAATGAAAATATTTATTGAGAATGGTAATTTAGTGGTTATATTATAGGTTAGCGTAAGTGGATTTTAGTTAATGCATCAAATATTTACTAGAAAACTGAGCAAAATTGCTCGTAATTGTTAAATTTGAAACTTGAACATATTGTTATTTCCGTTTGTTTTTAATTTCTATTATCATGATGATTTGGCTTGGGAAAAGTTAAACAGATTATTGTCGTGGATCTTTGATTTATATGATAAGTTTTGATATATATATATATATACTAGGTGATTTTCCCGTGCTCATGCACGGCTATGAATATTCATAAAAATAAAATTTTATAATAATTGATTGATATTTAGTTTTATTTTTGAATAAATTTATATGTATAATTTATATTAATAAATATTATATATTATATTATTTGAATTATACATATGACTTTGGATATATTATTGTCGGTTTAATTATTTTTTGGATCAATAGTTGGTTTGGTTATCAATTTGGTATATTGGATAATATATATTTTCCAAATTCAGTTATAATATTTTTTATTCTAAATATAATAAAACTTTGATTAATTTTCTTATTTTTCGGTTGGTTATTGTCTTTAATATGTAAATATACTATAGTTAAATTATGTATATATACCATAGTTAAAATAAAATAAATAATAAGCTGAAGTGTTTGATTCACAATTACATAAATGAATATAATGATAATATATTGAAGTCTCATGAATTTATATAAATTCTACAAAAGAATTAAATTGTAATTGGTTAATATTTTCTTTTTCTTTTTAATATGCTTCGAGTCAACCTCTTATATGTATAAAATTAAATAGATGATTATTATTATTCTGATTATTATTATTATTATTATTTCTTATAAAATTATATGCTTTTATTGTAGTTAGGTATTTAATTTTGGATATAAATTAGATTAGTCGAGTCATTCATTTTGTGAGTATATTGAGTTAAATATATTTTTAAATTAAAATTGAAGTATAATTACTTTTCATTTTAGTTAAGTCCAATCAAATTAGTTTTATTTATCGCTTAAATATACATGTATTTTCATAATATTTATAAAATTATATGTTGATTTCTAAAAATATTAGAAAATAAAGTGTAACTGATAAATTTTTGAATGTTCATAAACATATATATTTTTATTATTTTGAAAATATATTTTATGTTATTTAAAAATATATATTAATGGGGATATTACTATTTTGTGAACTTTCCTTTTTAATAAAATCATATTATATACATATATTTTCGTTTTAAATTTGTTTTAAAATTTTAGAAATAATTCTTTTTTATTATTATATATTATTTGGAAAAAGGTAAAAAAAATTATATAAAAAATAATAATAAACTTAAAATCTAACAATTCATTAAGGGTATCTATGTAATCAACCATCGTGAGAGTTAACGTGAGCGCGACACATAGGAAACTGACTTCTCAAATAATATTATAGAGATATAAATAAATATATATATATATATATATATATTAAAAAGATATTAACATAATCAAATTTATTAATTATGTTTTATTTTTAAAAATATGTAGTATTTTCTTGTTTATGATGTACCTTTGTGTATTTTTCGATTTCTTCACACACGTAAATCTTAAAAGATTATTAATAACATATTATAGTTATTTTAAAAAAAATAATATATTTAAATTGCAAAATTATTAAAATTAGATATTTGAATGAGGTGACATTATGAAGAGGATATAATAATTGTTATTGAATTTATGCATCTTTCATTATTTTAAAATATTAAAAATATAAATATATCAGTATAACTAATTTATTAATTTTTATATAATAAAAATGTGTATGGAAATTTATTTATGACTATAAAAATTATAAATATTTTTGTTAAATAAATTATTTATTATAAAAATATTACGAATAATTTAATGTAGGAGCTTGAAATATGTGGTAGATTATATAATTCAAAATTCTGATGATATTTAGCGTTCTATTTTTTTTTTAATAAGTTCAAAATGGAATAGTATGTTTTTTTAATCTAATACATTAGTTGTATAAGTTAAGAGAAATTGAAATTCGATTATAGCATGAGTGTATGTATGCAAAATAAACTAATTGATTATAGATACTTAGAAGAAAAAAAGATTATAGATACATAGTTGTCAAAAATGAATCACATAGGTATAAATACAATACATGAAAAATGAAATAACTTCATCCCGAATTCTCATCAAGCGGACTTTGACGGTAGT